ATTGCTGTCAATGGCAAATGCAAAGCTTGATGTTGCATCTGAGCCTCCAAAAAGCAAAGCACCAGGAGAAAGGGTGGATGCCAACGCAAAAGAAAAGGCACAAGCCAAAGCCCAAGCGAAGGCAAAGGCTGTGGCAGCCAAAGCCCAAGCGAAGGCAAAGGCTGCGGCAAAAGCCAAACAAAAGGCTGCAGCGAAACCAAAGGCCAAGAATGCAGCCAAACCAAAAGCAGAATCAAAAAGAAAGGCTTCTGCAAAGAATGACACAGCCAGTGCAAGTGATGCGCATCAAGAGGAAGCACAGAAAGCCAACAAGAAAAAGAAACATGTTGAATCTGAAGATGAAAATGACTTGCCAGAGATTGCCGATCAGGCTGACTCAGACTCAGACCAGTCTGGGGAGGAAGTGGAGAAGAAATCAAAGAAAGACAAGCACAAGAAGAACAAAGATAAGAAGGAGAAGAAAGAGAAAGGACACAAGCACAAAAAGGAAAAGGCCGACAAGAAAGAGAAGCATGAGAGAGGCAAGGAAACAAAGCACAAGGACGATTCAAAGAAGGAAAAGAAATCCAAGCATGATCTGCAGCAGGAAGCATCAGCCAGCAAGAGACGTAAGACAGAGACTGTCCAGGCGCTTCAGGGTTGTATAGGTATATATTATATATATGTTTGTCTGTTATCTATTTGTGCGCAGTGGTCAATGACAGGTCTGCTTCTACTTGTATAGAGGCTATGCTATGCTTCATAGATTCTTATGTGATGTCCTTCAGGGCAAAGGGAAGTCACCTATCTTTGCTGCTTTGCAGAGGTCGCGTTCTGCAACATGGCAAAGAAATGTTTGAGTGCTGAGCTTTATGTTGCTTATGATTGCAAATTATCGATATTAAGGAGTCCAAGACGGCAATGACGGGCGCTGATATTGAGTGAAGCGTCTGAGAGTTTGAGCGATTTCAAAGCCAGACACTAACAACATTTTTGGTTGATTTTTTCATTCCAGTTGAACCGCTGTAAACCAACAGGTTGAGTGCAGGTTGGAACTCTGTTCTGTCGCGCTCCAGACGCTTTGCAAGTTGCAAGGAGTGTGGGATTTCCTTGCGCGTTCCCGAGTTTATTTGGACACGACAGCCATGTACAGAGATTGGCAGCCACTCTTTTTGTTTTTCCTTTGATAATTTTGGTAGTGGTTTCTGTATCTTTTCAATCACTTCCATCGCTTCCCTCTTCTTGGGCAGCGGTAATCTTGCATCGCTCGCCATTTTGTGGGCGGCGACAATTCAGTGTTTATCGAACAGATGTTTACTTGAGGTGCTTTAGAGACAGGAGAAAAGATGAAGATCTTTGCTTGCTGCGCTTTTCAGGGCTCACTAGAAACCATCATTCCAGGTTGAAATACAGCCCTTGAGCTTTAGGTGGCTGTGTATGGCACGTGTTATACGTTAAACTTATGAATCGTTTAAAACTCATACCTTAGACCTATGCATTGTGAAATTTAGCACAATAAGATTGTAGTAAACAGTGGGCGCCAAGCGTGGCAGCGGAGCTCTCCCCCAAACCGGGTGCTTTCTTCCGAAACCTATACACTTTGCACCACGCTTATCCCCTCATGAACCATCTTTCTGCTGTACTGCGCTCCGCTCACTCTTGGGCTGTCCCTTTGTCAAACCGTTTTGGCTTCGCGTCGCCGCCCGTGCAGCTGAGCGAAGCGAGGCGAAGCGGGCGGGGACGTACGAAGCCAAAACTGTGTGACAAAGGGACAGCGCAAGCGTGAGCGGAGCGCAGTACAGCAGAAAGATGGTTCACGAGGGGATAAGCATGGTGCAAAGTGTATAGGTTTCGGAAGAAAGTGCCCGGTTTGGGGGAGAGCGTAGCGGCGTAGCGATGCGAGCGAAGCCAGCCGACTTGGATTCTGTGAAAACGGTTTTCGGTCTTCGGGCCCCTGCCCCTCCCGCTGGGCCGGGCCAAGCTTTCGGGA